AATTACTATAACACTGATCAAGGAAGGCTCTTAAAATTTCTACAATGCTACACGTTCGGGTTACAAATGTTTGTAAGTAGAGTTTGTACCGTTTTTCTCCCTTTCCAATAAATAGATGAAACCATAACGGCAAGTGTCTCTTAACAAAAGATATGTTTACTATTTTACGCCAGCTACTATTCAACTGAGATTGAATAGGTACGGTGGATGTTTTGATAATGGCAGACCTCTTCCTGAGATGCAAAGGGAACGAGTATTGGACCTTTATCATGATGGATTCGGTCACCGCCAAATCGCACGGGAACTTCGTTCGAGTCCTGGCTTTGTGCAGAAAGTGATAGATCGATACAATGAACAAAATACATCCCTTAGAGCCGCAAGAGTTGACTATCCTAGGCCAAAAATTGATGAAGCAGCCTTAGAATATATAGAAGTACACAAAGTAAGAAAACCAAGCATTTTCTCGAGCGAAATACAGCAGAGACTTTCATTAATGCTCTTAACCCATAACCCCTTAGATAAAGCAAGTAACTAGACCAGAATTATTATGGGGAAAAGGGGTGAGGGATGAAGTACTCCAAATATGGACAGCAGGTCACTTTTCTCTACATATTGGTGTGACAGTTCGAAATCTACAAGGGGAGAGGTGATAATCCTCTCTAGGGAGTGATAATCCCCCAGGATAGTGGGAGGTGATAATCCTCTCTTGGGAGCGATAATATAATCCCCCACTCAGGATAGTGAGAAGCTAGGTTATAATCCTCTCTAGGGGTTGATAATCCCCCAAGGTTGCGAGTGGAGGTGATAATCCCCCTTGGGTACTGGAGAGGTGGCAAGACCTCTCTAGATGTCTAATTCCCCGGTTTAAGGAGTAACAAGAGTCTATGGGGCAAAGTGTGACCTGTATGGGAGCACCTCATCCCCACAAATACCCCAAAGGGGTATTCCCCATAGACGAACAACAGGAATTGTAGGGCTATTTCCAGAGTCAAATGTCACTTGAAACACTGGTCACATGGTACTTGAACATTGCGTGTAAGATTAGACTGAGCAAATGTCCCATCGACTAGGTATCAGCTGAGGACTTAAAGTGCCCATCACCTTTATTTTTTTATTTTCTTATCTGAAACTATACCTTATTAAAATAACTTCTGCGAAAAAATTTTGCGATTTGACAAAACCCGATCTTTTTACAATTTTTTGAAAACGCTCAAATTTGCCGCCATTTTACACACCATTCGTCTTAGTCTTCTCTCGGAGTATGACGTACTTTAAGGAACACGTGACCTTATCGACAGGAAAACATTAAAAGTTCTGATAGGTTTTTCTTTTTCAGAAAAACTTTCTTCTCACGAAGACATTGTGATTCAATCCTTACTTGAAATTTATCTTTTTTGTGTACAGCTGATGAAGGCAAGGTAATGCGAGTTCCTTAATTTACGTCACATGACGTCATATGTGAGCTTGCTATCAGCGGTGCGAGTGTACCGCAAAAATGTAGACTTCAAAAAATTGTAAAAAATCGGCTTTTGTTCAAATCGCAAAATTTTTTCGCAGAAGTTATTTTAATAAGGTATAGTTTCAGATTAGAAAATAAAAAAAATTTAGGTGATGGGCACTTTAACCAGGAACAGCAGCAAGTTGGTCATCGGCCTAAGACGTCCTTTACAGCAGATGAGGAGATATGCAATAACAAACAACAAAACAAAGGATCAGTCTGTAAATTAAGCACAGTTAATCGACTAATTACACAAACTGGATGCAACTGGTGTATCTATCAAATCAGGGCCAGATACTGAGATGTGAGAACCCAATATATATTGACAAAATTTTAAACAGTTCCTTATCGATAAAACGGAATACACATGTTCATGGTTGTAGTTTGTAAGCTACTAAAAGTAACTGTATAATTTGTGGTTTCAACCCAATTATTGAAACAATGACAATAGTACATTCCGAGGCCCCCTGGGGACAACCACAAGAAGAAAGGTTAGCTCCGAAAGAGAGGAGTCATCCAATGAGACCGTTATCACGCAATAACAACACAACAACCAGGCTAAAGACAGGTCCTAATCCTCTCTCTGGGGTCCTGATCCCCAGGCCCTGAGAGGTGGTAATCCTCTCGCTACTTTCAATGAGTCCATCAAGTCCTCAGGCTACAGAGAGGTCCTAATCCTCTCTCTGGGATCCTAATTCCCAGGCCCCCTGGGAACAACCACAACAAACCATCAAGTCCCCAGGCTACAGAAAGGTCCTAATCCTCTCTCCGGGATCCTAATTCCCAGGCCCCCTGGGGACAACCACAACAAACCATCAAGTCCCCAGGCTACAGAGAGGTCCTAATCCTCTCTCCGGGATCCTAATTCCCAGGCCTCCTGGGAACAACCACAACAAACCATCAAGTCCCCAGTCTACAGAGAGGTCCTAATCCTCTCTCTGGGATCCTAATTCCCAGGCCCCCTGGGGACAACCACAACAAGGAAGGTGAGCTCCAAACGAGAGGACTCACCCAATAAAAACATTATCACGCAACAACAACACAACAACCAGACTAAAGAGAGGTCCTAATCCTCTGTCTGGGGTCCTGATCCCCAGGCCCTGAGAGGTGGTAATCCCTGAAAATTTTAGCTTATAATTCCTCTTTATGATCCGGAGAACGAAGGAAATTTCTGATTTTCGAATACTGTAAAACGCGCCTTTTTAAAGGAGCAGTCTGCACGTGCGAAGCACGAAACCGACCTTGATGATTTTCTGTCATGTATCATTCTCAACTCATAATATGTTAGATGTGAATAAAGAATTAAAACCGAAATTCAATCCATTATTTGAAAAAACCTCGCAGACCCAATCGTCACAGATTTGATTTTAACAGTCCGTATTCGCTCTTACTCCATAGTAAGAGCATAATAAAAACACGGACATGCATACTTGAATCCCCGGGACTTGAATAAAGTGACTTTCAGAGGCCTTTCAGAGTCCTTCTTCATAATACAGTAAGTGAACTCAAAGATAACTTTCCATGTCTCAAAGCGCTCAGTACAGTCACTTGCACACAATATTGCAAAAACAGATGTCGTTCGAGGCACAATAAAATAAGAATATTAAGTTAACTATCGATAAACCAGAAAAATACCGCACCTGAATCATGAGAGAGCAACTCTGATCCCAAAGGACGACACACTGGGCTAAGATGATTTGCTATGGAGGAACCTTGACTGTGAAGTGCCAGCCGAGAGAGTCGAAACGGCTAGAGTGACGGTACATGCGAGAGGATATCGAAAATTCAAGAAGAGGAGAAAGCAGCGACACTCGAGAGGAGGGTTGCACGATTGTAGATCAATGTTGCAAGGACGGAGTTTGACCAAGAGCGGCGGTGCAACATCTCTTCGTGGAAAGTCTGTCCAGAAAAGCTCGAACGCGTATGGCTTGCATGCAGTTGGAAGATCAAGGTAGCCCTTCCTAAACGGTGATCTCGTCATTACAGCTTAGCAAAAATTCCAATTCATGAAGAAAAAATCCAGGCTATAAGTAGCAAACATTTTGTTCCACGAAGAGGAGAATATGAAGTGCTATTTTGCTGAGCTAGGCGCGAAAATATAGGCATCAACTGTACATGTGATAGCTGGCATCTAATTGGCTGAGCAAAACAATTAGTGTGACAGGGGTCGCATGCAGGAAGTGACCCCTGAAAGGAAGTGAGCTGATTCCACTATTGGTAAGGGCGGGTTTATGGTGATCATATTAACTCCAATTTATCCTGTTGCATAAATTAGCTTTGGATGGTGTTGTCCATCCCGCTATTTTACCTAGCAAATCACAGATCGATAAAGTCATCCCCAAAGATCTTGTGATGACAAGAAAGAAAATTACTGCCATTCCACTTGAATCCACAACCCCTGAGACAACAGCGGCAATTGATATGATGATTTTCTCACCAAAGTAGCTGACATCAACCCAACGACCCTGCACTTCTTTGATGAATCCAGTGTAATCAAAACTACAGGAAATATGGGAGTGCGCCACTCGGAGAGCCCGCTTTTGAAATACAGCGATACGCGTCTAATGCAAATTTTACTATAAATCTGTTGCACTCATTTTGTGGCGTGGACTTTTATAATATACTGGAAGGCCCGTCTGATGGGCTAATTTCTTTGACGAAGTTCTTCAAGAGCAGCGAGCTTATGGAAGTGCAGTGCTTGAGCGCGGAGATTGCGCGATCATGGATAATTGTGGCTTTCACCACGGCCATCGTTTTGAACCAGTGCTCAGGGAAATGTTAGCGGATTGCGGTGTAAGACTGTTATTTCAGCCACCTTACTCACCGCATTTTAATACTTGCGAATATTGCTTTATTGCGATAAAAGCTTTCTTACGTCGCCACAACATGCTAGCTGTCAATGAAACAAAAGTCGCAATAGCACAGGCGATCCTCAACATCACCGCGGATAACTCTTATGCGTATTTCAAGCACTGTGGATATTTTTAAGTTAGGAGTTGGTAATTATAAAGTCCAGAAAACTGAAGTTAAAAAAACCTACGTAATGCCTTTGAACACAACTTACATGTTTTTAGCGAAATCAATTCGTTATTTCTTGAATATTGGCATTCTTGAACAGACCGCTGATGCAGGGCAGAAAGTACATAACTCAAACTAATCGAGTAATCACCACTAATTTCTTATGGTGAAAAAAACATCTGAAACAGAACAAATGACTCTTACAGTCTCAACGCTACATGAGACCGAGAATAATATAACGTCTTCTAACCTTCTAACCAACAAATTAACATGATTAAAAATCTCAGAAGAAGCTAATAAATGTACAACGTGCTTCATTGAAATAAGTTTACACTTCTTTTAGTTTGCATCCTACACGAGTTACTTTTATAAAAATGAAAAGGGAATATGAAAAACACAACTCAAAAAATGAAAAATGCCATAGAATGCTTGGAATAGTAGTTCATTCGTTCAAATAAATGTTTACATTCGAGTTCTCGAACTGTTCTATAATCAGCGAAAGTCTCCAGTCTTCATCGTCGGACCGATCGGCAACCTTTTTTATCGCTCTTTGTAAAATTATAAGATCTCTGTCCAACCGACTTCTGTTTGAGTATTTAACTTGGTTTTGCTTTTTCAATCTAGGTCTCATTACGTAGAAAAACGAAGATTTTGCGCGTTCACATGCAGCTGTAAAACCTTTGAGGTGGGCTTCCTCTTCTTGGGCCTTGTTTTCAAGAGATCTTATCTCCCGCTGAAGTTGGTTAATTTTAGCTTTGTGCTCTGGGTGCTTTTCCTTTATTTTACATGCGTTTATGTCCGTGAAAGGAGCTTTTGAACACTTAACTTTTGTATGCCCACAGCAATGATAGTTGTTACACAGTTGGCCTCGAATTTCACTTAGAGACTGAAAGTTCCTGGATTCACAGTTCAATTTCTCCAATTCGTCTTTGGCGCTAGCAACTTGTACTTTCAAAATCTGCACATTTTCTTCAATTTCCTGTCGCTGGAAGTCCGAAGGACTTTTTTCAGCGCGGTTGCCTGTTGTTGTTGCGGGACGCGCGGCGTCTGGTGTGAAAGACAAATGCTTCGGTGGCAGCGACTCGTTGTCAGCTTCCGAACTCGGCATTCCCAGGTCGGTTCGTCTCATTTTACGGGGTAGCGTTGAATCTATTTCAATTGCTTGTAGAAATATTTTTTTTATATAATCTCGTTCTTTTACTTCTTTGTCACTCCTCAGCATTTCTCCAGAAGAAAAGCCACTTGAATCGTCCCATAAATTGATCATATCACTGTCTTCGTCGCGATAACGTACACGAATGTTTGAAGCGGGTAAGTGCGCGAGTGGCGAGCAGTTGCGTTTTATCTCCTGCATAAGCTTCACAATGTGATATCCTTGATTAAGAAAGTGCAAAACCTTTCTTCTCCGTACTTTACCTACACCTGATAAGCCGCCATGCTGTTTACTGAAAACTCTCTCTTTGGTAGCGCCGGGATCAACTTGTTGTTCGGCTGCGCCTTGTTACAAGATTTTCTCCGCTGTGATTGGCCACTTGCCAGACATCAGACATCCCAACTTGTCAAAAATATGTCAAAAAAATGTCAAAAGTTTTGTCTGGTGTTAACGGTAGCTCGCGTAGCAGAGTAATATTGAATTTCTTAGATTTCATTAAACAAAACTATATTGATTTTTTGAGAAAATTAGATTGATTTCCTTACAAGCCATAGGTCTGAACGCTTGTAAAATTTATTTAAGAGAGATGTTTTAAACCTGCCAAAAACTACTTATTGTCTTGTAAAACTTGGTCTGGGAATGGGTTGAGCAAAAACCTTCATCTGAGCCACGTGAAGGTCTAGCCATTTGCAGCAGGGCAAAGGTAATAGCGGAGCTCCACGCACGGCGCGAAGGAGCCCCATAGCTAAGTAAATCTACCCATCCCCGAAAATTTGGTAATCACGTGACCGTACACCGATCGAGCAATCGACCGTCCGTCCGCACCACAAGGAAACCAACGTTTACTCTCACACTTTCTAGCTAGTTTGTGAGTCCAATAGAAAACTAATTGCATATCAATGTTGTGATCAATTGACAGCTGGCAAAACAGGGTATCCGCTGACCAGTATCACCTGACCGTACCGCGGGCTCAAGTGTCGACCCATCGACATCGAGTATTTTTGAAGTTATCCGCTGACAAATTACCAGTTTGAAATGGTCACAGGCTCAAGTTTATTTTTTCCAACGATTCATATAAAATATGTTGTGTTTATGTCACTATGGCCCTACACTGTAAAGATTTTGATTTCAAGCTGACCTCGGACGCAAAAATTCAGCCAGGTTTTTTTTAAAATACAGGCGGGGAAGACCTTTTCTTACCATGGTCACGAGTTAGTCACGCTCCACGTTCAATTTTTATGCTCTGATTGGTCAAAACTTGATAGGTGAGTTCATGCGGAAAATTTATGCAGCATCTTCAAAGTTGTTTACTTTGACAGCTGAAGCTGACAGAGTTTTGTGTCAACTTGTGATGTTTTTAACTGTCTTTTTCCACTGGATGTACAAAATGAAATACAGCTGCTATCAAGAGTCTTCTGTTATTCAAATAAAACCAGCGTTTTTGTACCGTTTTATACATCACATCTGAGGTGAAACAGTACTATTTATCATACAGACCTCGGACAGAATGCGGTATTTCACAGTTTTTCAAGACAAATCGCACTCAGTCAATATTCAGGAAGATCAATCGTGGGCTTTTAGCGAACCCGTTCAAAAAATTTCCAAAATCACCCATACGGCCAGCCGGTTCTAGTGGTCAGTGTGGTCGAGTGTTTGAATAAACTTTAATAGAGTTACGCTTCAACATTATAAAGCGTTTGATACGCCCGACACTTTTGAGTACTCCTGCAAGCGATGTTCATGAACGATGAAAACAAACGGCACGGACAAGCGATTAAAATTGCAAGAAAGACCACTAACAATCAACAAAAGAAATAGAATTTGGTGAAACACTTAATACAGAGACAACAATTTTCATTCAGGAAGAGAAAAATTAGATTGTCTCAAAAAGTCCTGAGTCTTTAAGCTTAAAGCTTAAGCTTAAGTTAATAATTATGTTTTGCTTTAAGCCGGCCTCCCGGTGTTTGCTTTTTTCAAAGATCTACTCTTGGAAGAAAGAAAATCGCTCAAAGTTTTCGTTCTACAACCAAATTTATAGCTAAATATTCTTCGGAACGTTTTCTTTCTGTTTGCGGTAAGAAAATATATCTGAAGGCCTTTTAAAGTTGTGTAAGCTTATATCAAACCTGATGCTAGGTCAGATCACTGACTCAAATCTTACAAACGTGCATAAACTTGCCGCATAAGCCGTGAACGATTTCATGAAATTAGATATAACAAAAACAAACATCAAATACAATAATTACTCAGGCTTACTATTCGAGATTCAGTTCCTGAAAGCTATCGAGGAAGGCATAGTTGCTTGAGAGAGAGAGCCTGTTCCGCATTAAGCAAGGTGAAAAACGAAAACGATGCCATCCGAAATCGGATTACCGAATTTTGACAAGCGACGCATTTCTCAACCAAAAACCCAATAAACAAACCAAAATTGTGAAATACCGCATTCTGTCCGAGGTCTGTATGATAAATAATACTGTTTCATCTCAGATGTGATGTATAAAACGGTACAAAAACTTTGGTTTACACACCCCCAGATTTGTTGACGAGAATTTGTAAAGTAAACCTGTCGAAGGCAAAAAAATTCGGCCTGATTTGTTTTCCAAGAATTTGTTTTCGAGGCCTAATCTACAGTGATCACTGAGGAGCCATTATCGCTCTTGAATGTGATCGAACATGTTTGCTATTTTTTTTGGGGTGTACAACTCGATGTAAGCTGTTTCAGTCTAAAATAACTTAGCCTTTCCAACAAAAGTCACATGAATGTGCCCTTAAGTTAACTGATTTGTGGATTACAAGTTTATTGTTTGATTGAAATTATAAATTTATCAATGAGAGCCTCGCTTTTAGCCCTGGCTAAATCTATATATTACCCTCATTTAGCAGTGATTTTAAGACCCTGAGTATTGGTCTGACCCCGGAATCGAACCCGCGAGCTCACGCTCTGCAGTCAAGCACTCCACCGACTGAGCTAATCCTGCCGCGGTTGAGATTAAGTTTAAATAAGATTGTAGCACAGTGGAACGTAGAACCTAGATATGGGGTCGTGCAACAACAACAACAACGATAGAATCAGACATTGATAGAATCAGAAAGAAAGCTTGGCTGAAAGTTTTCACCAGTCCCCAAAGGATCATCTTATTTAAAATGGTGGGTAGATACACTGGTTGAAGGTAACTTGGGTATGGAATTAAATGTTATTTATGTTAAGTGCCATAAAAAACATGGACAAAAACGGTTTTACATGTGATGTCGTTTCAGGATAAATTGAACGCTCCTGATTTTACTCAGTATAACTTCCCCTATAGCTTGTATCTGCCACATTAAGACGCATTCAAAAGGCTGACTGCACTTCATGACTTCCGTTTTGTGTATTTCATGGGCAAAAGCAGCGTCTATGAGTTGATCCACAATCGTTTGGGACGACACCTAGGCTAGAGGTCTCTCTTGCGTTGTGCTGCGATTCGATTAACGAGTTCCGCTAAAGATAAAAATGCTGAGTACAGAGCTAGTTCGATGACACATCAGTTCACGAAGTTCAACATGCTTTAACTCATTCCCGACGGGCAGCTTCCATCACCAGTTACATTCAATGGGACACACTCCTGAGATGGGACGATTTGTTGGGCTAAATTTAATCCCCGTTTTTTGATACAATCAAAACTCGCAATAACTGACCTACATGTAAGATACTAACAAGTGTACACGCGAAATGATTCCTCGAAAGAAACTTCTCCGACAACTCTATGTATTTGATGGCAAAAGTTGATTAAAGAATCCCAACCTATTTCCGACCCTTTTTTTTTATTTCTTTAAGAATTTTGGCTGAAGTCGCCTTCTCGGATTGGCGCCGCCATTTTGGATTTGCCATTATTTGTCAGGCGTCCTCAGCGAATTTTCCCGACAAGCTTGGCAGGTGACGTCGCATCCGAAATCGCCGAGGACGACTGGGAAGGAGGCCGGGTTAAAACTCTTGTAACAGCGTCGATTTTACAATTATTTATTTTCGAATCAACACCCAGATGTTTCACTGATGTTTGGTTGCACATGTCCGCAGATTTTGAATCAGCAATCTAACGTGAAAACTTTGCTTCAGGACGAATATGCTAAGATTACTTGATGTGTGTAAACCCCTCCCGACCGAATCCCAGCAAATCAAACCTTCGAAATTCAGAAACATTTATGAATTCGCAGATAATCCCTTCTAGTGACTAGTAATGTAACCTGAGTATCGACATGTGTGACAGGGGTTTCCGTTACAAAAATGCTCCATATCAAATGGTGACAAACATTTAGTTCAGGGAAAGCGTGACCACTGAACTGGTCAATTTAGTTACTAAGTGATCGTGAACTTGCATTCGACTTCAATTAGAGATAGTCAAACGGTTTTACGTACAACGGGCACATCATGAACAGCAAGTTTACGGCTTAGCGCATTTAGCAACGTAACAAAAAAATGAGTTCGTGCACAAGTCGCATAAGCCTTAGTCTCAATCATGCACAAATAGAGCTGAACTTGTAGTTTTTGTACAGGAAGTAAAAAGTCTTCGTCACCCAAGACCGCGGTGCTGTCAGTTACCACGGCGCAAAACCCGACCAAATGTAGGCAGCAAGGAGGAGGATCGGCCAGGATATAACTTTCCAACAGTGGTCTTGAAAGGAGGCGCGCCGTTACCGGAAGTAAGAAAGTTTCTGACCTTTGGTTGTCGCATTTGCAGAAGCTAGAAATACCACTACTCATGCTCATAACGGATTTTTGATGTTCTTGATCCCACTGGGAGGAAAATTTCACTTGCTTAGCTCTTCCAAGTGGGTCGCTTTGTTCGGGA